CTGCAAAGAAATTGTGACCCAGTTGGAAGAAATAGTCTTTAAAAAATATCACTACTAATCTAGCAAAATTATAATTTTTCCTAAGACCCATATTTCTTTACAGTTACCTCTGCTCCTTTAAAGTCCTTCAAAGAGCGATCTTTTCTCTATCCCATTCAAATTAAATAAACTCCTTTGCTTTGTCTCTCTTTGCCTTTATAGACAGGCCAGTCTGTCATGCCCTGTTCTATTGATTATCTGTTCAGAGACAGTCTTCCTTTCAGAGAATTGGCAAAGTTGTATGAAATGTGGGAACAGATAGAGAAAGACATCTAGGGATAGTGTGAGAATACCAAGACACTTTTAGAAAGGTCAGCAAAAATATTGTCTCCCTGTCTGCTGGTATAAGTAGACTTTTGTTTAAAATCCAGTCTTTTGAGAAATGCTTGGTGTTTCTGTGCACCTTTGATACATGAGCCTTAACTCTGAGTAATAGTTATATAAAGGATTTACAATCCTTCTATAAGATGAAGGATTTTATAGGTGAGAAGTGGAGGCAGAGACTGCAGGCAACAGAAAAGAACTGAGGAGCCTGTCTCCTGCACTTTACCTGGGGTTTTATTTCTTTGTTTTTGTCCCTATATGGCAAAAAAATGACATTTAAGTCCCCCAGCCTCAGAAACCACCTGATTCTCCCAACTGTATGTAAAAATGCTGATTCTGAAAAATGAAAAAACCTATTTCATTATCCCCCGTCCTTATTTGTTTGGTTTTTTTTTTTTTTTAATTCTTGGATATCCCAACTCTGTTTCTAGTAAAGCAAATTGTTCCAGTTATGGTGGAACAACACAAGTGTTCTCAGAGAAATACTGCAAAACTTATTTTTAAAAGCACTCAGCCACAGCAATGATGAATTTTCTTCTCTCATCATTTGATCCAGGAGATTCCCCCCTCCATGTCAGGGCTTACGGAGGCAGGAAATTTGCTGCTACCCATAAAGTGCTCTGCAGGCCATCTGTTTGTCTACTGCTGCGATGGCTCTTTGGGCTTCCTCCTCCTTTATTGCCTCCCAGGAAAAAAACAGATTTAGCAGTTCACTTGATGGCTGACTCCAATTTTAAAATCAATTACATAGCAAACCACAATATCTCTCCATCTTTGACCTCAGGTGAAGGCACTCAAACTTCTGGGCACTGCCAGTAGCTCATAGGGGACATCGCCGAGATGCAGACTTATCTCAATTTACTGGCGATGAGGAGAGCAGCTATTTACAGCACCCTTGAGAGCCATGGTGAGAAACTCTGTCACTGAGGTCCATGGGAGTCCTGCATTCATGATAGAAGTTTACCCACAGAGGGCAGGTGGCCAAATAAAGGCCCTTCCACCTTGACACTCATCCCACAGAGCGTGTCCATCCCTGGGATGACGCCGGCTGGCAAGTGTTATGCATTTACACACTTCTGATTTTGGGGCAGCAGTGGGGTGGTAGAGACTCGAGAGGACCCCCTGCAGCAGTGCTGCTGCCAGGGTGGCTGCTTGCAGGCTGCAAACTCTGCCTTGGTGCCAGCAAATTGCCTGTTGCCACCCCATTGCTGCCAAAAATGGTACATAGGAACGCTTGTTTTCACGCTGCTTCTATGAATCTCTCAACAGACACAAACTGAAATACAGTAAAAACTTCCAGTTCTGTATTAAATGCAGTGCAGGTAAGTTGCCAATGTTTGTGAAGTGCTTTTAGGCTGTGGCTTAAGTGGTGCCCCAACCAGGCCAAGTGCTTTGAAGCCTTCTCAACATCACACCGAATTTGCTTATTAATTTTCAAGTTGTGTTCTATTTTAAAATACATTCGTGAATTTCGGTGAAATCCATGTGGTAACCCAACACCCTTTCTCAGTACATATTTAACAAGCTAAAGAAAGCTAGTTTAACACTGAATTCATACATTTAATGTTTTAGAAAACATCTGCATGTATTTTTTAAAATGTGCAGTTCCAGCCCCTTTCTACATAGACCTCTTTCATTGAACCATCTAATTGTGTTGCAAGCATGAGATAGCCGTGTAATTTTCTATAAATAAAGACTGCTGTGGAAACTTATTCACCTTGATAATGCCAGGTAACCACTTAGCCTGAGGAATTCAGCACCTTTTTAAAAACAAACAAAAAGCCCGTGCCAAGATGGTGACAGTGACTTGCCAGTTAAACAGAATTGATGGAGAAGTCAAAGCTGATGGTTAACACTCCCCAGAAAATGAACTTTGCTGCAGTTGTTACTCCCGGGCTGGGAACAGTAAAATAAAAAGCTCTTTTGCAGAGATGCAGCTGTCCTGCTGATGCTTCCACAGATCATGCACAAAAGCAGCAGAGCTGCAAAGCCCTGACTTCAGCAGCAGCTCCACGTGCCAAAGCTTGCAAGATTCAGTGATGTTCCTCCCACCGGAAAATGTTATTTTGTGGTCTGTAATTCACCTCCTGGAGATACAGCAATATACCCAGGTGTTGCTAAAAATATGGTCCTTCATTTCCTTCTGGCAGGTTAGAATACTAAGGAATATTAATAAGGTGTGGGTTTTTTTTTTCCCTTCCAGATACAATGTGCCACCCACGAATTAAAAGAGAAATAGGGTTTTTTTAACCTGATGTTTAGTTTAGGATAATGCTGAATTTCCATCAGGCCTTGGACAGCTTGGTGAAAGCTTTCCTAAAAATAGGAATTATCTGGGGATTCCTTGCATCAGAGGGCTAATGGGTCGTTGAAAACTTGACATAAGAAGTAAACTATAAATATGAAATTTTTGTCACAGTCCCAGTGATTTTTGGCAAAACTTCCTGTTGCTTAGGAGCTGAATAGTTTGCATCTATTTTACTCATGTCCTTCCAGAATTACTTGACAAAGCTGCTTATTTCTCCTTGAAGAGCAAAGGAGTCTCACTGACACAACTTCAATTTTTTATATCAGCTGAACATGTAGAGATCCCTCTTTCCACCCAACTGCCAGTCCATGACTGCTAAGAAGAAATAAATGTATTCTGTCAAAACTTTTCAGTGGACTCAGCTTGGTGATGTTTGCAGGTAACTAGACACCAAATCACCTCAGGATGACCATGCTAAAGACAGAAATGCATTCTTTCAAGCACAGTTTCTCAAAGCTTTTGAAGGTACAGCTAATTTCTGATTGATCTCTGAAGACCTGGATAGTGATTACAATTTCAGGATTTTTTTTTTTATTTCTAACACTTCAGAACCTTCTTTGAATCCCATTCTGATCCACAGTTTGAAAAAATAACACTTTAAAAAACAATCTCTGGTGGGCAGCTTTCACCAGAGATCATTGTGATCAAGAAATAACTTACTGACAATAATTTGGTTTTGAATTTCTCAAACCTTTTCCTCCGAACAATTTAAAGCACTTAGCATCACAATGACTGTAATATACAATTTTTAAGCTGTTATTCTTTAAACTGAATGCGAATGTAGAATTCAGTAGGTTGTGAGAGATTTAATTTTTGGTTTATTGAGATAGGACTGTTGTCTGCACGAAAGCTTTGTGTTGCAACCATTGAATTCCTGAGGGGCACAGTAATTTGCAACTGTATTCATTTGTAAAACAGAAACAAATGTCAAGTCTAGTACAGCAAAAAGGGCATGGGGCCTTCATAATGGGGAAAAAATAATAAACCTTGCAACTTGCTAATAACTTTGTGTGCTTAAACAAGGCAAAAAGGATGCTTTTGCAGTGTCCCTGAAAGAAGTTAATGAACTTGGACTACGCTGAGAGAGAACACTTTATACACTTCTTGTCGAGTTCTTAAAATGATGTAATAGTGACAGAAATGTGAAGTACTAAAACTAATAATAATAGAACATTATACTGAACATCCCCCTGTGCAGCACAAGGAAGGTGACACATAATTCGCTGATGAATATATATTGATAGTAGCAGATAAAAGAATGTATTTGAGTTCAGGTTGTTCTGAGATTTGTTTTCCCAAGATGAGGTTTCTGATGTCTGTCATCTGTTCATCTTGTCAGATAAAAATACTAGTATGATCCCGGATACTTTGCTTTCTTGAAAGGGCTACTTGGGTTCTGTAATAGAAGATATTAAACTTTGGTTTTGCTGTGCAAGTTTATGGCATTCTCTGTTTCCTTAGTGAGACCTCTTAGAGAAAGAACATTAATAAAGAAAAAGATATTTAACTATGATCTGCATTGGAGCCTGCAAAGAAAGGTCAGGAAGGAGACAGAAACACATTGTTGAAGAAAAAGGAATTTCCCAGCCCTTTACTTCGTGAAGGCTTCAACTTGCACTTCTTGGCCCAGATCTGTTCTGGTACAGAGCATTTAAATATACACTAACTTAAGAAATACTAAGAAATTTGACCTTGGCAAAAATTTTAAGTCAGGCCTCTGCTGGACATGTTTTTGAGATATCTGAGCCAGCTTCTTGAAAGTGCCAGACCCAACAGAGCTAAGTGGGAGCAGTGTAAGAGACATGTGGATGCTCTTTTGATGGTTGGTACCCCTATCTGGTCACCCAAAAAGTGAGACACAATATATGTTCAAAAGTGAGGACAAAAAACTTACCTAAGTCTACGTCTAGCGACAGTAAGAACCTACAATTTTTTTTCCCCTGAATTTTTAAGGCTTGTATTCCAGCCATCTTATTCTCTAGCAGATGAGTGTTTGGGCTATTCAAAAGCAGAAAACTGATTGCACACTAAATAATCTGCAGATTGAAAAAGCAAATTGAAAAAGCAAATTGATTTCAATGGCAAAATTCCCACGGACCTGTGTGGGCAGAAACGTGCCCCATGCAGTAATTCAGCTTTTGACTGAGCGTGTTACTGCTTCTCTATTCTGCTACCTTAGGTAACAATTTGTTCCAGCTTTAAATGACCACAGAGAAGCTTTGCACAGCAAATTTAAAGGTTGATTATGGCATGCAACTTTATAAATTTCCATTATTTCAGCCCTGCTATTATATACAGCATACAATGCTTACAGAATCAAATAACCTACCTAGCGTTGGATCGTACTCCCAGATGAACCGCTTGGTCAGGAAGCGCACGACAAGAGCTGGAGAGACAAAGATTTCAGGTGAGAAACACAAGACAACAACTCGACAGTTTTTTGGGGTTTTTTTTAAGCTTTCCCAGCAAACTTTTCCATGTAAAGGGACATGGAGCAGCTTCCCTGAACTGTCAGCAGAATTCAGTGTCGCTTATTGTAGCAGCTGAGAGCTTTTCACTGTTTGTGGCCCACTCTACACTTTAGGAGTGTGGAAACAAAATGAAAATAAAAACAAAACTCTTTACAGCATTCATCATCTACCCACCCAACAATGCAAGAAGGTTTTGATGATACTTTCTAATTTTTTCCACTTTTTTTTTTTTTTAGGTCACAGTAGCTTCTACTATTAAAGAACCAAAACAACCCCATTTCCAATGCTATGAGCAGATGACCTTCAGAAAAAACCACTACTTTGGATGCTTTAGGTTTTCTATAAGTAGTAGAAAAAGAGCTGGCAGTTTTTGAACCAGGATGCTTCGATGCTTCAAAGCGAGGCTTGTTCAAAATTTCATTCTTGAAAACTTCCTCTTCAGACTGTAAATCTTCTAAGGCAGAATTAATTGGTTAAATAGCTCCCTTCTCTATTTTGGCATGCCTTCCTTGTAACAATTTAACTTCTATGTTTTGCCTACTTGTCACTTGAAGCAAACAGCTATAATATTTTAAACCAACGGTCAACAAATGCTATTAATCAATTTGCAGAAATAGAGAAGAAAGTTTAGATTTTGGAGCACTGGACAGCTAATTCCTAGTTTCAGTTTATAGGCTAAGATTTTACTACTTATGTTCTTATATTTAATTTTTTTCTATCCCTCCACCCCTTTTAAAAGCAACTTATATAGACTTTGACTATGTTCAAATTTAAAACTAAGCAGTGCTTTGAATTTCTAGTGGAATTCCAGTTAATTTCATTTCTAGTAAATGAATCATTTACTACAGCCAACTATTCAAAATCCTTTCTGCATTACCAAGATGAAGGCAGAGATTTCACTGCACTAGCTATGACTGCAGCCATTACAGCTGTAGAAAAAGCTTTCCCTGACATCAGCCCTGTAGGATTGGTCATTCTTTTGGTTGCAGATGGACAGTAAAAGGTGACAGCTAAACTCAGTTCTAACCCTTTTCAAAATGAAAGCCGTGAGAATGCCCTACATCCCAGATTTCTGTGCCCAAGAGCAGGAGAAGGCAACAGTCTGAAGAATAAATCTAATGAATTAAGATTTGCTTAATCAGACAAACAGAACATTAGTTTTCAGAAGATTAACTATGCCTCATACTTGGAGGGGTAATAAGAAGCTGGTCATAAGGAAATGAGATCACCACACAAGAGGCAATTTTAAATTGGTGTTATTTTAAGTTTCTATTTTCCTTAGGAAATACTACTTTTTCTTTTTTTTTTTTTTTTTTTTTTAGCCTTGGCAGAAATGCTCTCCTTGTCCCTCAGAGTAGATGTGGCAATTCTTAGTTGAAAGGTAGAAGAGAGTGGGGGAATCTGTCCAACTATTTTTATATTTAAACATGGCCCACTTAGTTGTTATAACCTTATATTTATAGATGGAAACTGTTGGAGAGGAGGGTCAAAATGCTGAAGAGGACTGAAGAAAGTCTCTCATGCACTAATGTCTAGGGCAGGTGATAGAGAGCAGCAGCTCTGAAGGAGTAGAGGGAGAAGAGCTGATTTTGGAGGTAGCCCAAAAGAAGGAAGTGAGGAGGTGACAAGCAATGAGAAGGAAAAGTAGAACTGGACTGCAGCTCCTGAGATGAGCCTGGGAGGAGGAAGGTACAGCTTTGTACAGAGGATGAACTGGTACAGGTGTGGAGTGCTGCAAAGGTGAAGAATTAAAGATCACAGATGTAAGCTCTGGTGAGAAGGGAAAAAACAGGTTGTACTTGCTTCCAGCACATACAGATACATAAATAATCACATATGCAGGAGAAAGTTGAAGTAAAGAAACGAAGGTGGCTGCCACACACAGGGCCAGATGGCAATTAAGTCTCCCCGCTGGCGGGTCTCAGCAGGGAGCACAGAAAGCTCGGTGAGCTTGCCGGGCACTGCCAGTAATAAAGTACTTGCATAAGGCTTGCTTGGGCCTGGTGAAGGGAATAAAAAAACACCTCAGTACAACCCCAGGTGAGTGGGGAAGTGTCAGCTTCAGAGCCATGTACTCTGTTCCAGTTCTGGGGGCGTGCACCTCAGGGCTGTGCAGAGCGGCTGCTCCTGCAGGGCTGGCTCTGCTCAGCCTCCCCTCTTCTGACCCAGCCAATTACTTCAAAATACTCCTGCTCTCTTTCATGGCAATGATCACAGCCCATCCTATAAAGCTTTTCACTTCCACACATTTTCATGAGGCTGAAGATTAGCAGCTTAGCTGCATTTCACAGGTGGGGAACGTGAGATACTCTCGATCTGGAGTCTTTTCAGTTTATAAGTGTTGCAATCTATGTTGGGCGGGAAATCACTTTTGCCTTGTCTGGGGTGCTTAGCAGATGGGCCTGTGACCTCCAGTTGAGTATTAAAACGATGTATGTGACTGCTGCCTGATTTGACTGAAAATAGTCAATGATAGGAGAGCTGGGAAGGGCATCCAAGTGCTTGGGCTGTCACTCTGGAGACCAGCTTGCTGGCTCATGCTGCCCTAGCAGGGGTATTACTGTGGAGCCACGTTGTTTATGCTGAGCTCACTTACTGCCAGATTACATCACTTTTCAGTAAAATAACTCTGCCAGCAGAAGAATCAGAAGTGAGGACATTAGCAATTCACTACACTTAGAGCTGTAGTGCTCAGATTTCTGCTGTTGGCATAAATGATGCTTCAGGCAAAGCCATAAAACTTCCCCCTGCCCTTAGTAATGCTGAATAGAAGGAGTTGAGATGGGCATTACTTCCTTCTTACCTTAGAAAAGTTGGGTGTACCCTGTGACCTGTTAGCCTTATTTAGACATGCTTAACTCCAATACTAATACTGAGCCAAAAGTAGCCCAACAGACTGAAAAAAAATAATCCAAATGCTAGGTTTTGATTCAAAATAACATTGAGGTTGAGATTGTCTGAAATGCATTACTTTCTGACTAAATTAACTAGCTAATTCCAATATTCATATTAAAATGGCCATTTCCAGTGCTTATCCTCAAATGCATTTTGAAGCAGCCAAGACTAGGATTGATGCAGTAGTTAACAGGAGTGATTTTCACAGCCCTCCACTGAGACTAGTCCAGGCTCTTCCCCGAACACTTACTGCTTGTGAAATACAAGAACTTGCAGGCTTAGAAGGAAAGAATCTCCAACAAACTGCTTTTTGGATTCCCACTGTGTTTTTCAGAGACATGACCATTACCTAAGGGAATTGATGTAATGTCCTAGCAAAGGAAGAACAGACTCATGTCTCTTTTTGCCTTTCCTTACACCCTTACTTCCAAGTACATGGTATAAATTAGGGTAGAACTTGGCACAGGGCTTTCATTCACTCACGTTTAAACCTTCTGCCTTAGAAGTTATTCTTGGAGAAGAAACATGACTATCTGTCAAACACATTTGTAGTGCAACTCCACTGAAGACAATGAAGTTAGATCAGAAATTAACTTGGCATATAAACTGAGATTATCAACCACACAATTAATCAAATTCTTTCGAACTTGTGTGACTGAGGCCCTTATTCAGCTTTAAAAATCTCAGTCCATATCTTTTGGAACTTTTTTGTATGTGTGTGATATTTTGCATCTTGCTTTAGTTCTTTGTTTGGATTTAGTAACATAAATGCTCTGGCTAAATTTACAATCTGTCTGAATACACGTCTTCACGAATTTGGTGGTGTTCCAGCTAATGCAAGCTGAGTTTTTTGGGGAAGAAGGGAAGCAGGGTTTTATTTGAAAAACATCCCCCTTCCCAAAAAGCTACAAAGTTATTCTAAGAAAAATAACAGTTCAGCAGTGAAATAACTGTATGATGACTCTTATGCCATGAGAATTTTCAGCCGTAAAAAAGTCTAAAGGTGGTCTCATTATTTAACTTACGAGCAAATCCATTCCTGGTGCCCTGATGATATGTCATCAGAAAACCATACTTGGCAGGAGACACCAGAGTGGTTAAAACCAAAGGCTATAACGATCAAAAGGCACTTTCACAAATGAAGCATTTAGTTTTTTTAAAGTGTGTATTTTTGTTAGAGTTCATCCCCCATTACCCTTCTCAGAGGCCTTTCACATATTGGAATTTTAGTCCCCTTGGAGCATCATGTGGTAAGTTCCAGCCTGCAGGATGGCAGTGCCACTGGATTCTGGCATGTGATGCACTGCCTCCTTATGCAGCTCTGTGTCCAGTTTTGGGAAGTAATGGTTCGTTTTAAAAATAAAACCCTGAGAATTTAACTTGCTCTTGAAAGTGCAGGTCACTTGGAGGTGTCTCTCTCTCTCTCTCTCTCTCTGTGTGTGTGTGTGTGTTTGTAAAACACGAACTTATAGTAGGGAATCCTTTTCTGATCCCGATAAGTGACGGATATAAACACGTGGTCATTACTTCTGGCTCTGCATCTGTGGGCCTGGGTTTGACTCAGCTTTGACAGTATGTCTGGGAATTCAGTGATGTGGGTATATGAGAGGTGAGCAAGACATCAACAGGAGGATTTCTCTGCGTTCGCTTCCTCTCTTGGACCTCGCTGTGGTCACTTCTGACGTTCAGATCTAATGCAGTAAAGTAGAAGTTTACTACAGTAAATTTAATGGAGCAAAATGAGATCAGTAAGGAAAAAGGAAAGGAAGAACTGTGCCAAGTATAAAATGTTCTGGTTTATACTGTCTTGCTGTCTCAAACTCTTCATATTTTACTCAGTTTGTAGTCACTGTCTTAAGCAGTGAACTGTTCAGAAAAATTACTGCTTATGCTTTTGTTTTTCTCTATAAGGGTACGGGGAGGTCCTCCACTAACTGACAATACAAATACAAAGACTATATATATTTTAATATATAAAGATCAATTAAATATAAATAACCAAAGTATATATTCTTTTTTA